CCAGGACAGTAGTTCACCTTGTCGTCACAAGATGGCAGGGTCGTAACGACAAAGCCAGGGGTGTCCGAGGCTGAGTGGCTGTTTGGGGGATGAGAGTTCCATGAGTTGAATGGTTTCGGTGTGGAAGACTCCAATCTGGAGGGTGACGCTCTGTGTCAGGTGCGTAATGAAGCCCGTGCCCAATGGCTGCCCGTCCAGGGCGTTAATCTTTAAGGGAGGGGTGACAGGTGTTAGATCAATGTCAAGCTCTTGTACTAGCTGGTGATCGATAAAATTACCTGCTGCTCCCGAATCTATCAAGCCCTCTACGTACTTAGTAACCCCCTTCGCGGTTATCAATACTGGGATGGAGAATTGCTTCTGGGAGATATTTAGAAATAAGGACACGCCTACCTGCATGGCAACGGAGGGACCCTTCTCTCTGTGGGGGGCGAACAAGGTAATGACTGAGTAAATTATCTTTCCCTCCACAGAGCCCTTCTTGGATCCGCCTTTGACGTTCGATACACGGGAGAGGACCATGGCCCAACTGCATGGGTGACACAAGGATGACTAAGAAAAATAAATACCTTACATAAGTTGCTCAGATGAAACTCTCCAAGCAGTAGATACGTCTCCTTTAAATGTTGATATTTGGTTGTGTTGTCAACTAAACACATTTGAATATTACTTTTAATACAGTAAATAGCCTTAAGTTAAGGCTATCTTATAAACTAATGTAACATTCAACCTCAAAATGAGTAACAGATCCATGGTCTGTAACTATAAATCTCTTCTTATGTACACTACCGGTCACAAGTTTTAGAACATCTACTCATTCAAGGGTTTTTCTTTATTTTTAATATTTTCTACATTGTAGAATAATAGTGAAGGTATCAAAACTATGAAATAACACATATGGAATCATGTAGTAACCAAAACAGTGTTAAACAAATTCTTCAAATAGCCACCCTTTGCCTTGATGACAGCTTTGCACGCTCTTGGCATTCTCTCAACCAGCTTCACCTGGAATGCTTTTCCAACAGTCTTGAAGGAGTTCCCACATATGCTGAGCACTTGTTGGCTGCTTTTCCTTCACTCTGCCGTCCGACTCATCCCAAACCATCTCAATTTGGAGATTGTGGAGGCCAGGTCATCTGATGCAGCACTCCATCACTCTCCTTCTTGGTAAAATAGCCCTTACACAGCTTGAAGGTGTGTTGGGTCACTGTCCTGTTGAAAAACAAATGATAGTCCCACTAAGCCCAAACCAGATGGGATGGCGTATCGCTGCAGAATGCTGTGGTAGCTATGCTGGTTTAAATGTGCCTTGAATTTTAAATACATTCAAGACAGTGTTACCAGCAAAGCACCCCCACACCATAACACCTCCTCCTCCATGCTTTACAGGTGGGAAATACACATGCAGAGATCATCTGTTCACCACACCGCGTCTCACAAAGACACGGCGGTTGTAACCAAAAATCTCAAATTTGGACTCCAGACCAAAGGACAAATGTCCACCGGTCTAATGTCCATTGCTCGTGTTTCTTGGCCCAAGCAAGTCTCTTCTTATTATTGGTGTCCTTTAGTACTGGTTTCTTTGAAGCAATTCGACCATGAAGGCCTGATTCACACAGTGTCCTCTGAACAGTTGATGTTGAGATGTGTCTCTTACTTGAACTCTGTGAAGCATTTATTTGGCCTGCAATTTCTGAGGCTGGTAACTCTAATGAACTTATCCTCTGCAGCAGAGGTAACTCTGGGTCTTCCTTTCCTGTGGCGGTCCTCATGAGAGCCAGTTTCATCATAGCGCTTGATGGTTTTTGCGACTGCACTTGAAGAAACCTTCAAAGTTCTTGAAATCTTCCGTATTGACTGACCTTCATGTCTTAAAGTAATGATGGACTATTGTTTCTCTTTGCTTATTTGAGCTGTTCTTGCCATAATATGGACTTGGTATTTTACCATATAGGGCTATCTTCTGTATACCCCCCACCTTGTCACAACACAACTGATTGGCTCAAACACATTAAGAAGGAACGAAATTCCACAAATTAACTTTTAAGAAGGAAAACCTGTTAATTGAAATGCATTCCAGGTGACTACCTCCATGAAGATGGTTGAGAGAATGCCAAGAGTGTGAAAAGCTGTCATCAAGGCAAAGGGTGGCTATTTGAAGAATCTCAAATATAAAATATATTTTGATTTGTTTATCACTTCTTTGGTTACTACATGATTCCATTTGTGTTATTTCACGGTTTTGATGTCTTCACTATTATTCTACAATGTAGAAAATAAGAAAAAATTAAGAAAAACCCTTGAATGAGTAGGTGTTCTAAAACCTTTGACCGGTGGTGTAATCATATAAAGCGTATGTAGTTCAAAGTATGTTCAAGACAGCATGCAAAGGTCGCAGGTCTGTGGAGAATCTCCAACCGCATTGATCACTTCTACCATGTACTTTCAATGTAATCTCAACTGCAATCCATGTCATGTGGTTCTGCTGTTAGATGAAGCACCATGATAATGCGTTCATACAGTGTATTGTATAAATAAACAAAATCCCATTTGAACTTTGTTGTGCTTTTAAATGGTTGAAAGTGCAGTGATAGACATTTGGGTGACAACTAAACCAAAAATCAGACATTGTTTTTCGATTGGAATTTGGTTGTATTAGTGATAACACATTGGAAATTCAACTAACTTTTGGCTGTCTTTTTGAGTGGGTGAATATAGGTTGTAATCTCATTGATCAACGTCTCAACCAAAATATTGCCGAATTATCCACGTTGAAATGACGTGGTGTGCCCAAGTGGGAAGTTGTTCTTGTTTTGTGTCAGTAAAGTGTATATGTTTGCAGAGCAGGACAAAAACATTCATGTAATCCGGCGACTCCTCTGAGAATTTAAACAGGAAAAAATAGTAGTTTATGTTTGCTTATTTAGCGCAATAGCTCGTCACTGCTATAACTACAGTATAAAGGACAACGTAACTCAATCCTTTCCCACAAACTCAGATCATTACAAGAATATTAAGTCAAATATCTTTATGTTGCCATGGTGTCATTATAGATCCCAACACACTTCCTCTGTAGAACTGCGGAACTTTCACACAACGGAACTTCGCCTTTCTCTGCTGTTACAGTTAAAATGGAAATCCTGGCTCACGTTCATGACATGAAGACTCGTCTCTGTGGCGCTTGTTTATGACACAGTAATGACTCTAGATCCCAAACCCCTCGTCGGGGGATGGGGGACAGGGGAAGGGGGAGTTAAGGGTGCGCCTGGATGATGTGTAAGAGCTGAAATAACCCTGGGTAAGAACAGAGAGGGAGAGCGGGTCATTATCAGTTCAGTGCCCTAACCAAAACCACCCCACACCGTACCCTGTACACCCCACATCGCTCTGTACATACATCACCCCCATATACCCTACTGTACTGATACTCAGTGCAATTACTCTTATCACAAGGAGCTAATTGGGTTCATTTTGGTCTCACTGAAGTGGCTAGATAAACAGTACTGAGTATGTGTGCAGATTAATTACGGAGGAATGTGTTTGGTTGAGCCCTTGATCGGTGCTTCTGTTTGTGGATGTGTGCATGCTCGCTTATACCAATGGTAAACCAACACTTTGGAACCCCCCCCCCTCCACACACACACACACAACACACACACACACACACACACACACACACACACACACACACACACACACACACACACACACACACACACACACACACACACACACACACACACACACACACACACACACACACACACAAACACACACACACACACACACACACAAACACACACACACACACACACACACAAACACACACACACACACACACACACACACAAACACACACACATCACACACACACACACACACACACACACACACACACACCAAGTAACCCTATCCCACCCAAACCCTGTCTGTCCTATTTCAGTACAGAAACCTCAATGGCTGCCGCTGGAACCCTGTGTACTGTGGTTAAACCATGATATAGGGAAGCCAGAACCGTTTAGCTCGTTTTGTTGTTGCAAAGAGTAGTTATTTATGAGTGCTAGTTGTCCCTGGCAATGGCATTCTACATCATTAGGTTTGTGTGGCCAGATGTGTCTGTGGAATGGGAAACATTCCGGAACATTTCTGTTCTTGACTTTCTAGACCAGAACATTCTATTTACAGGCTATACTCTGGACCAATTTTCCCTCAGTGCATGTCATGTGGTTTACTCAGAGGTGACTAGATTATTATACAAGTGGTGCCTTGATTACCCAATTATGGGAACCAGTAGATTAGCTGATATGATCTTGACTTGGGGTTTCTCTCAACAAAAAAAAAAAAATGGGATGCCAATGAAACCTATCGGATTCATTCATACCCCTCAGAATATTTCCTGAATGTTCCAGAATGTTCCTGTAGAAAATCTGTCCTAGCCCCTCATACCCTTCATGTGCAAAAGGCTAATATGTGCCATTGTGCCACCCTGGCATGGGGACAGACCAGGAGTTGCTAGGGAACGGGTGATGAAAAAGAGAGGGAGGGTCTGTGTTCCCAGCGTCTGGCCATACAGAGGGGCACTGCTAGTGGGCAGACAGAAAACAATCCTGTGTGTGTTAGAGAGAAAGATTATGTTTAGTCTGAGTGTGATTTAATGAAGAAAATATTCAAGAATAGCTAATAAATTCTTGGATATTGTTCTTTTGTATGTCTTTTGGCTTCCCAGTAGTGGTGCCATTAAACCACTGCCAGGAGAGGGCCTGTGTGTGTGTGTGTGTGTGTGTGTGTGTATGTGTGTGTGTGTGTGTGTGTGTGTGTGTGTGTGTGTGTGTGTGTGTATGTGTGTGTGTGTGTGAGTGTGTGTGTGTGTGTGTGTGTGTGTGTGTGTGTGTGTGTGTGTGTGTGTGTGTGTGTGTGTGTGTGTGTGTGTGTGTGTGTGTGTGTGTGTGTGCGCGTGTCATCTCACCTTTAACCCTCTCCTCTCTCCTCTCTCGTTGCAGAGTGTATGAACTGCACTGGCTTCACTGACATGAACATCAGACTGAACTACATTGAGTCCAAGGTAACAATGTATCAGAGGAGAAAAGGAGATCAGAGGACATGGAAGAAAGATGGATGGTTGACGATGATGATCATGAAGAAAATTATCAATATGATGGACGGAAGATTACATCAGTATATTTAATCTGACCCTGGTTCTTTGTTATTCCAGATTAAACTGCTAGACGGGGCAGGTTCAACGTCACCGTCCTTCAACAAGTCATCAGAGGGCTCCAGTGATAACGAGGTGTACACCCCCAACCCCACCCCCATGGGCCCTCCATCTCACCTACAGCCAGGTAACACCCCCAACCCCACCCCCATGGGCCCTCCATCTCACCTACAGCCAGGTAACACCCCCAACCCCACCCCCATGGGCCCTCCATCTCACCTACAGCCAGGTAACACCCCCAACCCCACCCCCATGGGCCCTCCATCTCACCTACAGCCAGGTAACACCCCCAACCCCACCCCCATAGGCCCTCCATGCTACCTACAGCCAGATAACACCCCCAACCCCACCCCCATAGGCCCTCCATCCTACCTACAGCCAGCCAGAGCTTTATCACCCATACCCCCCCCCCCCCCCCTCCCACACACACACACACACAACCATATATCACCTGGGGAGGTTACCTCTCAACATAGTAAACACATGGTTCTGGTTCTGTTTCTGGTCAATAGGAGGAAGAGGACCACCAGGGCCAATCGGACCACCAGGAATTCCTGGCCCAGCTGGCGAGGCAGGGGTTCCAGGACAGACCGGACCGACAGGTGATTCATCCTGATATTCCCCCACGTGACGTGCCTCTGATGGGAATGCATGACATTCGTTCTGTTTTTTTCAACATTGTTCAGCATTGTCTTGTTTCAGAAGATTCCGCCTGCGAGCGTTACATAGGAGTGACGTAGACAATGCATGTTCAGGTCATTATCTTCAATATCTGAATGGCTATTGTTGTGAGATGATAGGTCCCCTTTGATTCCCAGGGCCAATGGGAGAGAGAGGAATACCAGGAGAGATCGGTCTTCCAGGCCTCCCCGGACCTCCAGGCCCTCAAGGGCCACGCTCCTCCTCTACCCAGCCGAGGGGTGACATGTTTGGGTTCGACGAGCAGGGTGAGTGGACCCCCAACCACCATCATTGCCATCTTAGCTTCAGTAGATGGTATTGTTTCTAAGAGCTCTATGCAATCTTCCTGTCAACCATGATTGGAATCAGCTGGCCAAGGGCCAATTAATGCAAAACAAGGTGAAGACAGGGCACAGGTGGAAATGCATGCTCTGTAACTGGATATTTTCATATCCATGAAGGAGAAGCAATTAGTTATAACCACCAGAGAGGCCTCAGAGTATCTGTCCTCCTCAGCAGAGCTTTAGCCTGTACCAAAGGCATTCCATTAGTAGTTAAAAGGGCATCAGGTTGCTATTTACCGGGGTCAAAATGTCTCAAGTACAGAATTACTACAACAGGAAATACTGGGTTGAATGAAGTTGACTGTTTCCTTGTGTTCACATTCACACTGCAGCTGTTAACAGCGACCATGGTTCTCTATCACCACTGGCCACCCCAATTCATATGCATGTCAATCTCTATTTCACAAAAAATACCTATTCTAGACTTTAAACTGAAATATTATCTGATTAATTCATACCAGGACCAGTATCCAAATGCGTACAGTAACTGTTTTCCATGGATGCGCTTGTGATGGTGACTGGAATGGGTCAGACAAGGCAAACACAGGTTAATGTGCCATAATTCAACACCAGGGGGCAGTACAGACAGACAGGGGTTCCCAGTAGTTGGCCAAGCTGCAAAATCAAAAGGTTAGGGTTAGGGTAAAGCATAAGGTTAGCTGTGTGGTTAAGGTTAGGGTTAAGATTAGGGTTAAGTTTAGTGTGGGTCTGGGTCTAGATCTGGGTCTGTGGAGAGGAGAGGAGAGGAGAGGAGAGAGGAGAGGAGAGGAGAGGAGAGGAGAGGAGAGGAGAGGAGAGGAGAGGAGAGGAGATGGAGAGGAGAGGAGAGGAGAGGAGAGGAGAGGAGAGGAGAGGCTGTGTGTCTGGGTCTAGTTCTGGGGCTGTGTGAGAGCAGCGAAGAGAAGAGGCAGAGAGAGACTGAGGAGAGGAGAGAGAGGAGAGGAGAGGAGAGGAGAGGAGAGGAGAGGAGAGGAGAGGAGAGGAGAGGAGAGGAGAGGGAGCGGAGAGGAGAGGAAGGAGAGGATAGGAGAGGAGAGGAGAGGAGAGGATGAGGAGAGGAGAGGAGAGGTAGGAGGGAGAGAGAGGGAGAGGCCTGTGTGGTCCTGGGTCTGTTCTGGGTCTGTGGAGAGCAGCGAAGAGGAGATTGGAGAGGAGAGGAGAGGAGAGGGATAGAGAGGAGAGGAGAGGAGAGGAGAGGAGAGGAGAGGAGAGGGGTAGATGGAGAGGAGAGGATAGGAGAGGGAGAGGGAGAGGGAAGGAGAGGAGGAGGAGGAGGAGAGGAGACAGATGGATATTATATTGGAGAGGTCTTTTTGGCTGTGCTAGCTGCTGGAGCCAGCTGGCTGTAATCACAGCTCATTTGTAAACTGTCAGCACAGCAGTCTGCTTTTGGAAAGTCAGAGACGGCCAGGAGCCAAATCCCAGGACCCGTATAGAGAGGGGATGGAGGCGAGGCTCTGCCACTCATAGGCCCTCCTCGTGGGGCTAGAGGGAAACTGCAGCTTCATGCACGCACCACTTTTCCGTTATTTCTTTTTTTGAATTTTTTGAAACAAGTTATTTTTTAAATTCCACTTCATCAATTTTGACTATTTTGTGTATGACCATTACCTGAAATCCAAATAAAAATCAAATTTAAATTGCAGGTTGTAATGCAACAAAATAGGAAAAACGCCAAGGGAGATGAATTATTTTGCAAGGCACTGTATATACAGTAGGTACCGGTACAGAGTCAATGTGCGGGGGCACCGGTTAGTCGAGGTAATTTAGGTAATATGTACATGTAGGTAGAGTTATTAAAGTGACTATGCATAGATAATAAACAGAGAGTAGCAGCAGCGTAAAAAGGGGGGGGGACAATGCAAATAGTGTGGGTAGCCATTTGATTAGATGTTCAGGAGTCTTATGGCTTGGGGGTAAAAGCTGTTTAGAAGCCTCTTGGACCTAGACTTGGCGCTCCGGTACCGCTTGCCATGCGGTAGCAGAGAGAACAGTCTATGACTAGGGTGGCTGGAGTCTTTGACAATTTTTAGGGCCTTCCTCTGACACCGCCTGGTATAGAGGTCCTGGATGGCAGGAAGCTTGGACCCATTGATGTACTGGGCCGTACGTACTACCCTCTGTAGTGCCTTGCGGTCAGAGGCCGAGCAGTTGCAATACCAGGTAGTGATGCAACCAGTCAGGATGCTCTCGATGGTGCAGCTGTAGAACCTTTTGAGGATCTGAGGACCCATTTCAAATATTTTCAGTCTCCTTAGGGGGAATAGGTTTTGTCGTGCCCTCTTCACGACTGTCTTGGTGTGTTTGGACCATGTTTGTTTGTTGGTGATGTGGACACCAAGGAACTTGAAGCTCTCAACCTGCTCCACTACAGCCCCGTCGATGAGAATGGGGGCGTCCTCGGTCCTCTTCTTTTTCCTGTAGTCCACAATCATCTCCTATGTCTTGATCACGTTGAGGGAGAGGTTGTTGTCCTGGTACCACACGGCCAGGTCTCTGACCTCCTCCCTATAGGCTGTCTCGTCGTTGTAGGTGATCAGGCCTACCACTGTTGTGTCATCGGCAAACTTAATGATGGTGTTGGAGTCGTGCCTGGCCATGCAGTCATGAGTGAACAGGGAGTACAGGAGGGGACTGAGCACGCACCCCTGAGGGGCCCCCGTGTTGAGGATCAGCGTGGCAGATGTGTTGTTACCTACCCTTAACACCTGGGGGCGGCCCATTAGGAAGTCCAGGAGCCAGTTGCAGAGGGAGGTGTTTAGTCCCAGGGTCCTTAGCTTAGTGATGAGCTTTGTGGGCACTATGGTGTTGAACGCTGAGCTGTAGTCAATGATTAGCATTCTCACATAGGTGTTCCTCTTGTCCAGGTGGGAAAGGGCAGTGTGGAGTGCAATAGAGGAGAGGAGAGGAGAGGAGGAGGAGAGGAGAGGAGGAGGAGAGGAGAGGAGAGGAGAGGAGAGGAGAGGAGGAGGAGAGGAGAGGAGAGGAGAGGAGAGGAGAGGAGAGGAGAGGAGAGGAGAGGAGAGGAGAGGAGAGGAGAGGAGAGGAGAGGAGAGGAGAGGAGAGGAGAGGCTGTGTGTCTGGGTCTAGTTCTGGGGCTGTGGAGAGCAGCGAAGAGAAGAGGAGAGAGAGGAGAGGAGAGGAGAGGAGAGGAGAGGAGAGGAGAGGAGAGGAGAGGAGAGGAGAGGAGAGGAGAGGAGAGGAGAGGAGAGGAGAGGAGAGGAGAGGAGAGGAGAGGAGAGGAGAGGCTGTTGGCTGTGCTAGCTGCTGGAGCCAGCTGGCTGTAAATCACAGCTCATTTGTAAACTGTCAGCACAGCAGTCTGCTTTTGGAAACTCAGAGACGGCCAGGAGCCAAATCCCAGGACCCGTATAGAGAGGGGATGGAGGCGAGGCTCTGCCACTCATAGGCCCTCCTCGTGGGGCTAGAGGGAAACTGCAGCTTCATGCACGCACCACTTTTCCGTTATTTCTTTTTATGAATTTTTTGAAACAAGTTATTTTTTAAATTCCACTTCATCAATTTTGACTATTTTGTGTATGACCATTACCTGAAATCCAAATAAAAATCAAATTTAAATTGCAGGTTGTAATGCAACAAAATAGGAAAAACGCCAAGGGAGATGAATTATTTTGCAAGGCACTGTATATACAGTAGGTACCGGTACAGAGTCAATGTGCGGGGGCACCGGTTAGTCGAGGTAATTTAGGTAATATGTACATGTAGGTAGAGTTATTAAAGTGACTATGCATAGATAATAAACAGAGAGTAGCAGCAGCGTAAAAAGGGGGGGGGACAATGCAAATAGTGTGGGTAGCCATTTGATTAGATGTTCAGGAGTCTTATGGCTTGGGGGTAAAAGCTGTTTAGAAGCCTCTTGGACCTAGACTTGGCGCTCCGGTACCGCTTGCCATGCGGTAGCAGAGAGAACAGTCTATGACTAGGGTGGCTGGAGTCTTTGACAATTTTTAGGGCCTTCCTCTGACACCGCCTGGTATAGAGGTCCTGGATGGCAGGAAGCTTGGACCCAGTGATGTACTGGGCCGTACGCACTACCCTCTGTAGTGCCTTGCGGTCAGAGGCCGAGCAGTTGCAATACCAGGTAGTGATGCAACCAGTCAGGATGCTCTCGATGGTGCAGCTGTAGAACCTTTTGAGGATTTGAGGACCCATGCCAAATCTTTTCAGTCTCCTTAGGGGGAATAGGTTTTGTCGTGCCCTCTTCACGACTTTCTTGGTGTGTTTGGACCATGTTTGTTTGTTGGTGATGTGGACACCAAGGAACTTGAAGCTCTCAACCTGCTCCACTACAGCCCCATCGATGAGAATGGGGGCGTCCTCGGTCCTCTTCTTTTTCCTGTAGTCCACAATTATCTCCTTTGTCTTGATCACGTTGAGGGAGAGGTTGTTGTCCTGGTACCACACGGCCAGGTCTCTGACCTCCTCCCTATAGGCTGTCTTGTCGTTGTAGGTGATCAGGCCTACCACTGTTGTGTCATCGGCAAACTTAATGATGGTGTTGGAGTCGTGCCTGGCCATGCAGTCATGAGTGAACAGGGAGTACAGGAGGGGACTGAGCACGCAACCCTGAGGGGCCCCCGTGTTGAGGATCAGCGTGGCAGATGTGTTGTTACCTACCCTTACCACCTGGGGGCGGCCCATTAGGAAGTCCAGGAGCCAGTTGCAGAGGGAGGTGTTTAATCCCAGGGTCCTTAGCTTAGTGATGAGCTTTGTGGGCACTATGGTGTTGAACGCTGAGCTGTAGTCAATGAATAGCATTCTCACATAGGTGTTCCTTTTGTCCAGGTGTGAAAGGGCAGTGTGGAGCGCAATAGAGATTAAATAATCTGTGGATCTCTTGGGGCGGTATGCAAATTGGAGTGGGTCTAGGGTTTCTGGGATAATGGTGTTGATGTGAGCC